TCAGCTCATCTGGTTTTGTAGATGGCAGCTCACTTATTTAGAAGGAGAAAAAATTCACTCTCTTGCCCAGGAAGAGATGAGTGTTGCCAGCAATCAAAGGTAATTAGCTGCTTCCCTGGCTAATATAAATTATTGCAAGTGGTAACTGTAATCCATCACTATTTTTCTGAGGGGAAGGAAAGGGGATGATGCCTAACACTGTTGCCTGCCTGCTGCTCTGAATCGCCTCCTGACCTCCCACTTGATCTTGGCCCAGAATCTGGGAAAAAGCAGTTTACGATATTTATGGCTTGAATTAGCTGTATCTTCTGCAGTGCAGAAAGAAATAGTGGGAGCCCTCTCCCACTATCCATCTGTCCAAAAGGACAGATCTTCATCCTCCAAGATCTGTCAAGGTTCAAAATCATCCTGTGGGCTCTGGGGTATGTTCAGCTGATCAGATTTAGATGTCTAGCACAGGCCAGGCTAACTCCACCCTAAAAATACCTAGCTCTCAACTCTAAAGGAAGCCTAGAGCAACTCAGGTGTAGATGTCTTTATTTAGATGAGATGAACCATACCTTATATCTCTGCAGTCATGTTTTTAATTTATCCACTAGAAAACACATTATTTAATCTGTCCATTTTTTCCAATCTTGAACACTGCTAAGTGCAAGCATTTTCAGTGCGTTCTCCATATAACACAAAAAAGTCAAGCATTCCTTAAATTTGTACGTATTGTGTTTGTTTGCGTGTGGTGCCTGTGCTTAGTGTGTGTGAAATTACTGTGCATTGCTTTTTAAACACGAATAAATTCACAGAATGATCAGAATGAGCATGCCAGGGGCAAGCCAATGGTCCACACTGCTCAGCATCTTTCCTCAGACAGTGGCTCACTATTAAAATGAATCCAGAAAAAAGGTATTATTTAAGCCCTATTAGTTAGAACATGGTTTATGTCCCCTAACAGGAGGGGTTAGTTCTTTGATATCTTGACATTTAATTTCCAAAGTTAGGACTACTCTTTGCAGTAATAACTGATAACAACTCAGACATTGTAAGAAAACCTTTTCTGCTCTCTCAGAGAATTTTCTTTTAACTGTGATCAGATGAGACACAGGTGTTATTTGTTATTACTATGACAAGTGATAGCAACATGGTCCCTATTTATATAACTGAAAAATAGAAGCCCTTATTTTATTGGAAAGCACCAAGTGTGGCATGAGTGAAGAGGACAGAGTCCTGCTTTACTGCTGCTGGTTAAAGACATATGTAAGGGAATGGTGGAGGTTAGGAAAATAGGTGGGCTCATACGGTAAACTCTATCTCATTCACACATCACCTGTCATCAAATCAGTGAGTAGGTTAAATAGATATAAATGAATGCAGGCAAGTACACTGAGGTGTGGAGGAATGAAGTGATGCTGAGCTGGTTTGCTAGTCCTGTGGAAGCAAGGGGCATGGGGAGATGAGCTGAAGGAAAATGGATCCTAGCCTGGCAACTGTGTTGTGAATGAGCTCTGGCAAATGTTATGTGTTCCAGAAGACAGACAGGGAAGCAAACACACAGCAAGCTATAAAGAAGCTGCTGAGCTAGTCACTGCCAGGCTGGATTGAGTTTGCACCATGGCATATTGCTATACTAATAGAATAAATAAAAATGCCAGTATTATAAGAAACCTTGATAGATCCCAGGTCATCCATGCAACTTGCTGTCAGTCGGTCATTGACCCTGTCCTGATCTGCCATGATCCAACCCAGAACAGTTAGGAAATGGTTTCTGAAGAACGAGGTGCTTTCTATATCTTTTACTAATAGGAAATGGTTTCTGAACAAAGAGGTGCTCTACATGTCATTTACCAGTCTCCAGACTCCCAGTGCTGCTTAGAGTGGCAGAGCTATAAATTATTTAACTCTTTGCATTTTCACATAGCTATAGCTGGCACAGGCAGAGCTGGTGCTGGGCACAGTGTACTCTCTGCAGTGCATGGTGTGGCTGCCATCTCACTGACAGCTTTGGAAAGGTGGGAGTTTCTCAAAGTTTTGCCTTTCAGCCTCAGCTAGATATCCTTTGCCTTCCCCTTGCTCTTGAAGTTTGCAGCTGAGCTGGTGCCTTGTGAATTTTCATGATATATGAGATCGAGGGTAAAAAGCAAGAGAAAGAAATGAAAGGCATCATGTTCCCTTGTGTAGAGGTTCATTTTACCAGGGGAAGAGGGAGGAACCTGCTCATCAGGGACCCTTGATAGCTCCTTCACTGTCAAAATCCCTAGTCCATCCTCTTGCATATCCCCCTTCCATGACTGCTTTACCAGGCTGAGTCCCAATCTATACAGGCTGTTTGTGTGGCAGTATCCAGGTCATCTTGGTACCCTTCTCTGAATCTTTTCTAGTGCCTCCACATCCTCTTGGAAACATAGGTGGCCAGATCAAAATATTCAAGACATGGACACTTCATTAATTCCTGTGGTGTAGGAATGTTTTCTGCCTTGTTCTCAGTTCCCACCTTAATAAATCCTGCTTTTATTTTAGTCTTTAGAACCATTCCTGTGCACTGAGTTCAGTGGCTCCAAAATCATGGATTCACAGAATGGTTTGGGTTGGAAGGAACCTTTAAAGATCATCTAGTCCAACCCCTTGCCACGGGCAGGGTCATCTGTCACCAGATCAGGCCACTCAAAGCCTCATTCAACCTGATCTTGAATACTTCCAAAGATGGGGCATCCACAGCTTCTCTGGGCAACCTGTGCCTGTGTCTCACCACCCTCACTGTAAGAAAAAGTCTTCCTTATGTCCAACCTAAATCTACTCCTTTTCAATTTAAAATCATTGCCTCTTGTCCTGTCACTATAGGCCTTGGTTAAAAGTCTTTCTCTACCTTTCCTATAAGCCTGCTTTATACGTTGAAAGGGTGCAATAAGGTCTCCCTGGAGCCTTCTCTTCTTCAGGCTAAACCCCAATTCTTTCAGTCTTTCCTCATATCAGAGGTGTTCCAGCCCTCTGTCCATTTTCATGGTCTTCCTCTCTTTCCTGAGTAATGACAAATAGTTTTGCACATATAGATAGCCACC